TGTCAAGGCGGTTCCACCATCTACGTGGTGCGTCCGCAAGTCCATAGACGGAACGAGTGCACAAACCAACCAAGTAAGGAGGCAAACCAATGTCAGTAGGCAACTGAACATGGATAACGCGGCGGTCTAAGTCGTATGTTTCCCCCTGAAGGAAGGCAGTTTTCAAGTCTAAATGGAGTAAATCCCAGTACATCGAGGCTGCATGCTGAGATGCCACACGAAAACCATACCTGGTAGCAGTAGGACTGTCAGTCTGTAAGTCATACTTTTGAGCATCTTGAAAGCCTCTACATACCCATCTAGCCTTGAACTTCTTGAACTGTCCATCCTTATCAACCTTGATGGTAAGCACCCATCTGCCAGTGACATAGTTATCAATCTTATGACGTCTCTTGTCTCTGAAAGTCATGGCAGTGAAATCCAGAAAACTTCTGAATTCTTCAAGCTTGGCTTGTTTGATCTCCTTAGCATACTTTCTCAAGACTTCTTGAGTGATAACTGATTCTGCCTTTGGCTGCTTCTTTCCATTCTTGGCAAGATACTGTTCAAACTGTTTGAATCCAGTAACATCGTATGAACCAAACTCAGGTGCAGCTTGGACCTTTGGTCCTAAAGGAACGAAAACAGTACCATCAACATCGACAAAATGAGAGTGGTCTGATGTGTAAGGTTCAGTGTCCACATCTTCTTCCTGAAGCTGAGCAATGTCATCCTCAGTCAAAACAGGAGTGTCGTCTGTTTCATATGGTTCTGTTTCATCATCATCATGTTGTGATGATACCAATTCTGGTGTTCCTTGTGAAGACTGCTGTTGCGCTGGCTGCGCAAAGTCACCTGGCGTAAACGATGTTGGTGTAGTAGTAGGCAATGGAATTGTATTATCATGTGAACTTGAGGCAGTAGGATCATGTGAAGGTCCTTCATCTTCATCTTCATAGGTTTCTGAGTAGGAACTGAAATTGGCTGAACATGACCTGGTAATTGAACCTTTGGCCTCTTGATAATCACCTTTGCCTTTGCCTTTGGTAAAGCATCAGTAGAATCAGTTGAGATCTGTCTCTGTTTCCTTTGAACTCTGATAGGCTCTGACGTCGGATCAGGTCCTGGTGGAGAATCGTCATCTTGTCCAGGATCAGCAATCTCTTCGATTGGAATGTCAGGATTGGAAAACGGAGTTGATGGTGAACTTGGTTGATGTGTTTCCCCCGAGTCCTGTATTCCTGGCATATCCAAATCATCATCAGGTGGTGGTCCATAATCATCTGGAATGATATACTCTTGATCATCATCATCACCTGGATCGGGTCCAGTATTGTAATCAGGTTGATTATCATCATCCAGAGGATCTTCTGGTTCATCACCACTCAACATCTCATCATCATTTGGTGGAACATCACCATGCTGATCTGGATGAATGGGATCGTCACCATTTGGTGGTGTGCTACTTGAACTAGGAGGATCTTCAACTCTCCTTTTGATAGCACCAGTCGTTTCTCGTGAAAAGACGATCATACTCCATTCATGGATTTTGAACTGTTCATGATGTGGATACAACTGTGACACAAACATGAAGTAAACATGATCATAGTCACCAGGTTTCCAAATAAGTAGGACAGCATCTTCAGGATGTTGAAACAAAGGATTCACTCTTCCATAAGTTCCTCTGAACACACTGCAATCTTCAAAGTACATTTGAGGCAATGTCTTCTTTCTGACATCTTGAAGTCCAGGAATCAGTTCAATGATTCTGGGGTCAGTTGATTCTCTGACACTAGCCTCTGTACTCCTTGGCAACTGATCAATCTTCCTCAATGTTTGAACAAGTAACTGAGTGGTAAATCTCTGTGGAAGAATGTGCTTCAACGGCACTGGAATCGAGGTCTCAACATGATGCAAATCTTGCAACAAACACGAGCACTCAGGTTCACGGTCCAAAAACATTGACGTGCCACACAATGCTCCATCATCAAAATGTTCCAACAGATCTTCAAACAAGAAACATTGTCTCATGTTCTGCAAAGGTACAAGTTGTGTGAACTGCGCAATGAATGAACACAAGTGAGATGGTAAGACCTTCCATTGTGGATCATTCCAAAGCTTCCCTTCTCTATTGAAGGCATGCTGTGGTTCCAACATGTCAAAGTCTTCATCATGATTGTAATACACACGCAAGTTCTTGATTGAAGGATCACAACGACAGTAATTTGTCATGTCAAGGTTGAAACAACCAATGTGATACTTGATTCTGTCTTTCTGAAATTTCTTCCAAGCCAAAAACTGAGCAAATCCTGAATCAGGTGGTGCAATCACCAAGAAACCTTTTCCTCGGTCAGCTTGCCATTTCATCACATCAAGGCAAAACTTGAATACCGAGTATTTCCAGGAATTTGGTGAAGGATTTGTGATCAACACGTATTCAGGATCAAGCTTCTCAAGTTGTTTCCAAACTTGGTTTTGTTTCTTTTTGCTGTTGAAACTCCAACCATGCTTGTGGTCAATGGGTTCACCAACCTTCATGTTCAATCGTGCCATGTGCCAACTAAGACCAGTGTTGCTACTGAAGAGTTCCACAACATCACACTTGCCAGTTGACAAAACCAGTGAGCTTGTTCACCTAAGTATGCTTCAGCATATTCAGCGATATCTGGTTCATAGTCATCTTCATCTTCAACTGCAAGTGGAACAGGTTCTGATGCGTCAAGTCCCGGAACAGCAACATCATGCCATTCATCATGGTCACGTCTCACCTTCGATTGATTAACACGCATGACTGCGTTGTCAACATGAACATTGACCATAGCACCTTCTTGAGAGATAACAGTACCTCTGATCCATCTTTCCTTCTTCCATGCCTTTGAAGCAATAGCATTAGCATTGACAGGGGAACTCCAAACGAAAACCTTGTCACCTGGTTTGTAAGGTCCATCTGATGGCATTGTTCGTTTGGCCATGTCATGTCTGAGGTCAGCAGCTTGTCTGGCTTCCTGATGTGCCCTCAGTGCTAACCTTTGCAACTCGAGTTGTGTTCTGTCTTCAGGTAAAGGGTCAACACTAAGTTGAGCAGGATCAGAAGTCTCAATATCCAGAAGATCTGGTGGTCGTCTACCAGTGGCAATTTCCAAAGGAGAATAACCACTAACAGTGAGTTGAGTGTTTCTGGCCCAAACAGTACGCTTCACAGCTTCTCTGATGGTAATTCCCTTGAACCTATCATCTTCAAGGTTCTTGGACATGATTTGCCATTGTCGTTTGAAAAGTCTGACAGCTGATTCAGCTCTGTTAGGCCATGGGGTTCTTGAACCACAGGGACATTCCTTGATACCATGAGTTCGGTAATAAGTCAGAAAGTCTTCTTGAAAGAAAGCTTCATCACCTACAATGGCTTTAGGCATACAATTGTGTTCATCACTCCACAACCTTAGAGCCTGAATGGTCTCCTTGTTGTTCAGTGAGTTTTGTGCCGTAGCCCAAAGTAAGTTGGTTGCACCATCAAGAACAAGCAACACCATGTACTTGTTCTTCCTCAACTGAATTTCAGCATGATCAACAAAGATAACATCTCCAAAGTTGGTGGATCGTATGCCTGAAATTCTGGCTCGCGGCGGTGGTGCAATGGAAGTACTACACACACGACACTTGTTGTACATCTCCTCATACTTCTGATAGACAGAGTCAGGAAGTCCTAACATGGAAGTCCTTCGTCTGAATTGAGTAGGAGACATGTGATAGTGTTTGATATGAAGCTTGTAAAGTTCCACACTATCCTCCAGTTTCCTGAGCATCTTTCTGTATGCTGGTGTCATGGCTTGCACTTCACTACCAGGCAGTGGAATCGAAACTCGCCTAGGCTCAAGAGCATCACTACCTAGTTTCTCAACTTGACTTTCTGAATCTTGCTTACCACGGTTGCGCGCAGGTGCAGAATGTTTTGGTTCAATGACTTGAGGTTCATCTGAATCAATTTTGTCCAAACCTAACTCCCTAGCTACCTTATCAAGCTCATCTTCTTCATCAAGCTTGGGATAGGAGACAACAACCTTCTTTCTTGATGAACCTGATTGAGAGTCATCGACAACCTGAGGTTTCTGCTTACCTACGTGTCTTTTGGCTGCAGGTGGACCTACCTCAATCTTTTTCGAGCCTGGTCCATTTGAAATCGGTTTGCCTTCCTCCTTCTTTAAGGAGCTTGGCTTCTTCTTCTGTACACCTGATGGCACTGAAGAGGCTGACTCAGGGTGAAAAAGATCATCAATGTTTCCACGAAAGGGCTTTGCACGATCAATGTCACTTCTGACAATGTCATCTGGGATCACGTAGTCCTCCTTGATCTTGTAGATGGTCTTGCCCTTCCAGAACTCTTCACTCTGTTCAGAAAACCTCTTCTTCTCAGTGCGCCAGTTGTCCTTGTGAAGAACCTTCTTCTTGCTCTTCTGGAATTCCATGTGGGTTTCTCTTGGATCTTCGATTAGCACTTTTTTTCTGATCATAGCAGTTTTTCTTGGATTTACGCTCCTTCTGACTTTTTATGTTCACTTGAACAACAAATGTACATTCGTGTCTTGACGGACGGGTATTTACGTTTTTTTCCCGGATAGTTACCTTTTTTTTCCATGAGGTGCAAAAAATGCCGTAACAGTGGCGCAATGATGCTCATTTCAATGGTCATTTCCCCACAAAATATAGCCAAAAATATGGTACTAACGTACCTCCATTTTAGGATCCTGGACCCACTGGAGATCTCCCGTTGATCATGAACATGTCTCTCTATCAATTCATCATGGGGAGAATTTATGGATCCTATCATCATCCTATCAATTTTGGATGATACTCATATAAATGCCATATATCCTATAAGTGCCATTTTATGATCTATCATTTCCTGAAATTACCATTGATCATGAACATTTCTCTATAAATGCCATCAATTCATGCCATCAATTCATGTAATTCATGGGGATCTCTCATTGCCATTCCTTTCCATTTGGAGAAAAAAATCCCAGGTCTGCCGATCCCCATGAGCCGCCACTGATCGATCCCAAGCGCCCTGGAGCCGAAGAGCCCCCGGCAAGGGCAACGGGACAACGGTACCATCAATTGGTGGATTTAAAAATTGATCAACCAACAAATAGGGTGGGTATAAAATGTATAAAATTGTTATAAATGTCGGATATTTTCAACTAGATCTTCAAGTCATGACCCTTTTGAGATGGTAATTCGTGGCCCTTTCTGGATTTAAGTGATGTCGAATATAGCCGGAGATCATGAAAGAACCATCCCAAAGACCCTCAATGTTTCGAGTTATGGGGCCCCAATCTCAACCAATCAAAAACCGTACGTTTCATCAGGGCAAATCTGTGGGAGCGGATTGGTGGGAGCGGATCCAGTAGAGAAAGCCATGGGGATCCCATGGCTTTTGTGACCGGTGCTGCCAGGCATTTCTCAGATCCGGAGGACCTTGAAGCCTTCGTTCAGGCCATGAAGTGATTGAAAGGTGGCCAGGGATGTCCCGGGATGAACATCTGAAGCGAGGTCAATGGTTTGAGTGGAAAGACATGGAAAGACTGTGAAAGAAAAGAGAACAGACATATATATATATTGTATATATCATATATATATATATATATATAGCAATCACCAAACAGACAGATGTCAAAGTGTTGCCAGGATGGTATAGAAGGTGTTTTCCTTGTACTACATCTTGCATGTGTCCAATTTTTCTATTTATTTGGGTTTACTATGTTCGCTGTAGGTTATCCTTCTTGGAACACAGCTTGTTCCCGCAAGACTTCATTCGGAAGTTGGATCCATTTGGCCCCATTTGGGAGTATTTTTTACGAGTATTTACAACATATGGCTACGGATCAATACCTATAGATACCTTTTTTAGGGCAATGAGCACCCATTTACAAGCTATTCTGATGTCCACCAGGGGTATAGGGTTTTGACCTATACCCATATATCGACATATTCAAAACAAAACATATCATAAACTATATAATAAACCTGGCTGAATTGTAACAACCTCACTGCGATGTAGCCATAGATCATGATTAAGACTCAAGACTGGGGAATCATCGTCAAATGGCCAGACTGTTCAGATTGGTCAATTATGAAACAATTCGGCCAGATACACATAACCATTGGATTTGCGCTCTGGATCCCTCTGGTAATTTAGCAATATATTTATATATTTGACATAGCTATTGAAAAGCAGCAATTTTAATAGGTAAGTCAATCATATCAAGCTAAATGGCACATGTTCCATATAGCAAACTGTGAAATGATCATCGGATTTACCCAGCCCTGGGGCATTCCAAACCTCCCGATCCATCAGGGCTACAGGCGAATGATGGCGGTCCTGTGTCTTGCCACAATGGGATGATAACTTCAGAAGTCCAAGGATTTGATGCGTAGCGTTTGGGTATCGTTTAGTCAGGGTTTTTGGTATGATGTACTACTGGTTGACAGTGATGTTAGTACTCTGGTTGGTGGTTTGGAACATGACTTTTATGAATTTCCATATATTGTGAATGTCATAATCCCAACTGACGAACTCATATATTTTTCAGAAGGGTAGGTCAACCACCAACCAGTACCTGTTAGTGATGTTTCGAATGCAAAGTCATGATTTGATGAATTAGTCAATGATTGATGGCGACATCATGCAATATCAGCATATTTACTTCAAAAGTGATGGGCTTTGATGCATCGGATCCCTGGCAACAGTAGGAATGAAACAAAGTGGCTGACGAATTTGGAGAATTGAGAGCCGCATTTGCGCTGGTTTAACTTAAGGAACATGAATGCAACTATGGTTTTGACCCTCCAGATTCTGGCGGTAGTATCGGTAGTACCTCTTTATAATTGTTCGGTTCTGGATATTCTGGAACAAGTGGGATTCCAACAGATATCGCCGCTTTAGACTTTTGCTACCATTTTAAGTCAGAGGGACACTGGGTGAAGTTTGGGCCACCCAAGAGTGGATTGGTTCCAAGTTACTACTCGGAATGACAGCCCTGTATCCAGCCCTGAAACTTTGACTTGGACACCCACATATCGTGTGCATACCGGATAGCCATACTATATAGGCATTTGTCAAGTTCTTTGTGCAGCCTGTCGGGCATAATCCCACAGGATGGGGCTAGGAAGGGTATTCAGGAGCTGAGCAATAGCCATGAGATAGACTATAGGGTACCATAACTCATGTTGGTAAAGCAACAACAATCCACCCATATCTTGAGGGTTTATACCACCCAAAAAATGGAGATGATTTGTTACTCAGGAATCAGACTCGCAGACTTGTTACGCATCACTGCATCACTATGAATTTGTGATAACTTGTGTTCATTGGAATAATGAAATACGGTAAGAGCTGGAGTGTCCATGGATGTCCATGGACATTTCTATTTTCATGGGGCATATCATGTATATCACCATTTGGTTTTAGTTCAAACCTCATGACCTCCTGTTCGTTTGTTAAACCCTTGTTTACTGGTGAACCCAAGAACTTTTGCTGGTATATCATCTGTTATCATCTCCCCAAAACTATTCTCCCTCCTTGGAAGTAAAACATAGTAAACAAGTGAAACGGGTGATACTTCCGGTTGATACTTAGTTAAATCTGCATGTTTTATCATACCTTATTGATCCTTATCCATTAATTAAGATAATTAAGTATACCTATTCTACCTCACCATCCTGTTCAACAGGGGTGTACTACCAGGAAGCACGACAGCATGACGAAACACATGGACCCTACGGGCGTGGTGCCACTTCCGAGTGCAGATGGTCCACAGGAAGAGATGCTTGTAAAAAGCGGGCTGGCTCGATGCGGACAAACTCAGTGGGCTGATTGGTGTGTACTCGTAAGACACCAGACAATCCGATATAAATTGACATAAATCAATATAAATCAATAACAAAACGATATAAATCAATCGCAACGTTTAATGTTTCTAAGTGGAAAAAGATCTTTCCAAAACCATTGTTTTGGGTCAGTTTTCAAAAATGAAGCCCTCAGCCCTCAGCTCAGGAATTTAAACACTGCGGACTGGAAAGCCATCATTGTTTCATGGGAAAGTCAGGGGATTCATTGTTTTTGTGACTTGAGGTGTTGCCGAGGAGGTTGATTAGCATCATGTAATACACACCCACCTTGGATTGAAGTTAGACTTGCAGTGCTTCCAGCTTTCTTCCCACGCGTTCGTGGGGCTGACGAAAGATAGGATCTCGGTTCGGTGAAATATCTGACCTGAATTCGACATGGTGAGAGGTGAACCTTTGTCCCTGCTTCGTCCAGCAAGTGAGGTGAGTTGGGTATAGGTCGGAATTGGATCAGGAATTTGGCGCAACATTGGATGGTTTTGGTTACCAACACGATCGGGAATTCATGATTTTTTTCGGGAAAATCCATAGAATATTATGAATATTGACCCATGAGCCAATTGGAATTGGCTAGCTTCAGGATCGAGAACTATATCTTGAAGAACTCTCAGACCACCTGGCATTACTCTTGCACCACACCCATGGGAGCCGTTGGAGATCCCAAAGCTGTTTGTGACTGGGCAGCTTTTGTGTTTGTCCCAGCATGTGCCAGCCAAAGGAGTCAGATCAGAGAGTACTTGGATCCATGAGTCTCAGGGATAAGGATCAGTATGATAAGCTATCATACTTAAGGGTTGGTCCACATTTTCTGTGTTTATTTGCACAGGCATTTGGAACGAGCCAACCGTTAGAAACCTGCTCAATGGCCCCACCTAAATGATCAGTGATATGCCGTGATGGTATTCTTCATTGATTAATGTGGTTGGACTGTTTTGGATCAGTCAGTTGTGTTTTTTTCTACTACAGGTATGTTTCATATTGTTTTATGGTTTTTCAATATCCCACGGTTTGTTGGTCAGAGACGTTCCATTTTTGTTGCTGAAATTATCATTTTTCTCCACCTGTTTTCGTCAAATTCCACCGTGCGTCTGTTAAATCCCTTTGTTGCTTGGTCAAATCCAGCTTCTTGGCGGCGACGTGAAATTCCACAGTCAAATACAGTCAAATATATATATATATATTATGGTTGAACATGCTCAAATCTCCAAAAATGTTGTAGAAATTTTGGTAATTTATAGCTCGCTACCCATCGATTTTCTCCATTATCGCAGATCATCCAGGCGACCCCGAAGGCCGTGTTCAGGGTGTGCGCAACTTACGTGTCTGTGATGCAGGACTGATGCCCGTGATCCTTGGCGGTCGCCTTTGTAGGGCTCCAAGGGGCGCAACTTAGGGGCCCCTTGGTGGGTTTTGCCGTGGTTTTATGGCGGTTTGATGTAATCTAATGGGATTTAATGGGATTCAATAGCCAACCAAATTGACATAATATGTGGGTCTGTCTGGAAATGGCGATTGAATCCCCAATGGCATAGCCTTTTTTTTATAGGGGAAATGATGAAGGTACATTCTTTTTCACTCAAACTCTTTGTTCTGAATTTGTTGTGTCGGTGTCCATGGTGTAAATGTATTTCCAAGAATTGACAGAAAATAGGGTTATTTCACATTATTTAAGCACCAGAAGTGGAGTTGAATGGATACGGTCTATCGAAAGTATCAACCAGTGGTACAAAGAGTGCGGGTGCAAAGTCAGAGAATATTTTGGTGATGTTCACAAGCTGGTTGGTGGTTTCAGCATGTTTCAGATCTGAAAGTAACATCCGAGAAAAGAAACCCATTGGCAACAGCAAATCACGAATTGATCAAGCCAGTCATTCAAGGTGGTGTTTTCCAGTTATAAATGGGTTATATAATCCCATTAACTATACAGATATATCACCTATGAACCATAGTTATTGGACTTATTTGCACCAACTTAGCTAACGAACTGGGGCACCAGCCTGTTATCCCTTTGCGTGAAATCTCCACGAACGCGCCCACAAAATCCCACTTTGAGTGGTTTGGAAGATGAATGACCTATTGAAAATGGTGATGTTGAGGTTTGGCCTTGGATTCTTGGTGTGTACATTATATATATATATATATAAATAAATTCTAAATGCATGAAACCTGCAAATCAACACTCACGTTTATCGGTCTTGGGCTTGGGTGTCTCAGATGGATAGATGAGATCATACGGCATTGCCACGGCAATGCCGAAAAGCCAACGGTTAAGACTGAGTGTTGACATGGTTAGACTTGGTGCTGGTACTTAGGTCTAAAACTAACTCACTAGATTTCTAATCATATTATCAATAGATATTACCATGAGGTCTAAACTTTGGTATTATAATAATGCTGGATATTATCAATAGATATTACCATTTAGTGAGGTCTAACTCACCATTTTATCATCACTAAATGCTGGAAAAAAACAAAAAAACACACACCTGCAATCCGATGGATTCCATGAGGATAGTGAGTGGCAACACCAACGCTCCATGCGTGATGATGGGAGATAAGGCCTGGTGACTGGAGAGGACTGAAAAACTGAATCCCAAAAAACATGTTTTATTGTCTTTTAGTAATTTGAACAGATCGGAATATTCCACTGGAGTTTGGGATAATTTTGTTGTTATAATTATAGTTCTTGACTAGGAACATGCTAGAAATATCCCAAGTTTTCTCTTGTTTTCTCACTGACTGTGCCTTTGATCCCCCAAAAGCGGAATTCCAGGACCTAAACACAGGAATCTGCCAGACTCACATCTGACTGGGACATGGTAATGTGTTGGTTCCATGATGAGAACACACCATGAAACCCAATTAGACCCCCCAACAACCTACTGTTGAAACCCACAACTCCTGAAAACCCTCTTCAAACTCATCAAAACACTATGGCAAAAAATCATTCAATCCCATAAAGACTCAGAAAACTCCACTTTCTCATGATTCATCCCAGTTAGCAAGTGGTTCATGAATCCAGTTATATCTGGATATCCCATAGCTATTGAAAATGGCCATTGAAATAGTTGATTTGCCCATTAAAAATTGTGATTTTTCCATAGTTATGTAAACGTTTACCAGAGGCCAGAGGGTAATCATTATGAACCCATGACCCATAGGATCCATGTATGGTATATATGCTAACATTTGGGGTATATTGATGGTAAATGTTACCATATATATAGCATACATGGATCCTATGGGTGATGAGAATCTCCAGGTAGTCTGACTTCCCCAGGTTGGTGCCATGATGGCCCGGGACTATGCCGGCCGCGAGGCTCGCGAGAGCCGCGGAACCGCGGTGCCGAGTGCGGCGAGTGCGGCTCCGGCCGTGGCGCCTGTGGCTTTGAAGTCCTCCCTGTGAAGGTGGGACTTGGGCACTGGGGGATGGAGATAGATTTCACCAAGCAGAATTAGATTCATGGATATTAATGGAGGTTTTCATGTGGGAAAATAATCTATAAATGCCATTTATAATGAAAAATAATGATGGAAATTAGTTAGATTAAAATCATCATTAATGGAAAATAATCTATAAATGATGGATTTTCCTTTGCCATGCTAATCCAATCCCTCTACTAAACACCCCCGTTTTTTTTCTGGTCCCAGATAGGTGGTGACTCATCCCCGACTGAACCATGGTGACTCTATGGGGTGCAAAAAATGTTAGGGGGATGGGAATTGATCGCCATGGCGGGGGCACCATGATACATGTGATGATACAGCGAGGATTAAAAGCAGTAAGTCAACAAAAAATGGGATCTGATCAACAAACATGGGAACTACAACCTGAGATGATGGTTTGGATTGGGGGGAATCATTTCAATTGGGCATGTCTTCAATATGGGTTGGAATTAAATAGAAAGTATTGAGATGGGATATAATGGGAATTGAAGGATTATACCCAGTAGGCTGTTAACCGTCAACCAACAACAGTGGGAACTCGATAGAGGCTTAAACCAGGGATTTTGGTGAGGATTAAAAGCCATGAAGCTAACAAACATTTAATCACTCAACATTGGTTTTTACTGCAGTATAATTATATGGCACTAACAAACAATGCGTAAGATTATCCAACTGGTGGATGGACCTTGGCCAATTCATGGCCAATTTGTGAAAAGTTCGGTTCGACACCATGGATTGGGAACTCTAGCATGTTCCCTGACAACTTATAGGGGCATGGCTCACATAGTTGGAGCATGTTGGAGCAGTATTGCTGGCTCCTTTGGCATCCTTGTTTTGAGCCATGACCATTGGGTAAACTCACCAATATTGGTAATTATATTCAAGATTCCTTATGCCAAGAACAAGTGAAGTCTATGTTAGGTGGTACCATGAGTTATATATTATATAATATTATATACTATTTCCAGTAACTATGTCACCACTGTGACCACATTACAATTTACAACAATTTACAGCAACTATGGAACATTTGCAGGTTAAAAGTGAAAAAACAAGCCATTTGTGGTTTCCTGCAGTTTTTCACTGTAAATCAACGACCATAAAGCACCACCATTTCAATTTCTTGTTGCTTCAACCTTCTTTCAACCACCAGGACTATGCTTCGATTTGGTCATTCTAAATCAGCGACTTTTTTGTGGTTAAGTCGGTTAAGTCATTCAATCCCAAACGGATAAAAATATCATATTTTGTTGCCATAGAAAAAAAAAAAAACATAAACTAGTTTCATTCCCGTATTGGGGATGGTCATCAATCCCTTAGTTCTCGTAGATATTTATATATCCATCAGGATTCTGATTGTGTGATGGATGACCACACCACATACAACATGTTTTGACCATAGCACATACAACTTGTTGGCATTGGTTACCCATGGGCAAATATGGGCAATCCTGGTTGACTCATTGAATGAATCCATCCCGCAACGGGGCGTTTTTTCGTCGTTTCCGCCAGGTGCAGCATGCAACGGTTTCCAGCGCTCATGGTTTCCAGCGTCGCTGGAGCTGTGAACGGAGCCTGATGAGTTCTACCGAACGCACAGTAAAAAAGAAATAAAATGAAGAACAGATACCTGGGTCGACTTGTCAACCTTAGATGGATAGTTTACAGGGTTTAGTAGGTAAAACTAAAAAAGAATTGCTATCAATTGGATAATTGGGATATCCAGTGATATCCAGATACTCTTGCTATAAAAACGAATCCACGAAAACAGTGCCAGAGAAGGATGTAGGACACATACAATTGTGGAATTGTGGAGACAGGTAATAATCCTCTAGTCTTGTCTTACATGTATACACAATCAAGTTTAAGATTGTGTATCATATATTTTGTGATGATAATGGTTATATAATGTATACATATGTATACATATGTATACATATGTATACATATGTATACTTACTGTATATATGTGTGCAGTAAAGACGGTGATGTATACAGCCAAATGGTGACATAGTCGAATTTGCACAATGTTTGAAACAAAAACTGTTAAATATCCTGCCAGCAAGATTGAAGAGATGACACATTTGTTGGCAGCAGAGATGTGTATTTGATGATAATCTAACATAATTACCCTCTGGTAATTTAACATAGCTATTGAAAATGGCCATTTATAGTGAATTTTCCCATAAAAAAAATGGTGATTTTCCATAGTTATGTTAAATTACCAGAGGGTAACATAGCTACAGATGGCCGATTTAGTTTATTTCTCATTTTTTATTCAACCACTAAGCACGGTTATGTTCCATAAAGCTGTTTATCATTGCCAGTGGGGTAGCCCTTTTGGAAACGGAGATGCTTCAGCAGCACTGATAGATTGCGTGTTGATGTTTCTGGTTTGCAGTTGCACTTTTCCAAGCTGGAAACTTGTACTCGTAAGATTAAAGTGCCTGTTTGTTTATTTATTGATTGAACTGTTTAGCTGGTTTGGGTTTCGCGATATGCTCTGTATTTGAGTGTTTGTGGATGATAGGCGCTATGCCACATGTTGCTCATGCATGTGGTCATGTCCCAATTTGGAGGTGCAGTTCCATTATGTTCCATTTATAAGTCGAAACACAGCCATAGGTACAGGTTATATAGTATAGGGATTTCATCCCAACTATCAACTTACTTAAGATCTTTTTCGGTGGTTGAAATCCCATGGCAACGTACAAACGGTTTTTTCCACCAAAAAACGGCACCGCTTCTTAGAAGCGCGCATCGTTGGAATTCCAGTGTCGAAAAGGTAGAACGAATCAGTTCTTGGCAGTCCAAGTTCCAAGTTTTCTCGGCTGCGAAACCCACATTTGAATCAACTGCCAAACGTTGCGAACGTCATTCCGGTGGGTATCTGGATGGGGGGCATTGCTCCGGTTTTCCATTCCCTTATGGGGTCTCAGTAGTCAT